TTGGTATCAGGATGATGTTGGTCTCATAAAATGACTTGGGAAGAATTCCCTCTTTTTGGATTGTTTGGAATAGTTTCACAAGGAGTAGTACCAACTCCTCTTTGTACATCTGGTAGAATTCAGCTGTGAACCTGTCTGGACCTGGACTTTTTTTGATTGGTAAGCTATTAATTGTTGTCTCAACTTGAGCCCGTGATATTGGTCTATTCAGGGTTTCAACTTCTTCCTGGTTTAGGATTGGAAAGTTGCAAATGTCCAGGAATTTATCCATTTCTTCCAGGTTTACTGGTTTATTTGCATAGAGTTGTTTGTAGTCATCTCTGATGGTAGTTTGTATTTCTGTGGAATCAGTGGTGTTTTAACTTTATCATTTTATATTGCATCTATTTGATTCTTCTCTCTTTTCTTTTTTATTAATCTGGCTAGCAGTCTGTCTATTTGTTGATCTTCTCAAAAAAACCAGCTCCTGGATTTATTGATTTTTTGAAGGGGTTTTTGTGTCTCTATCTCCTCCAGTTCTGCTCTGATCTTAGTTATTTCTTGTCTTCTGCTAGCTTTTGAGTTTTTTTGATCTTGCTCCTCTAGCTCTTTCAATTTTGACAATAGGGTGTCAATTTTGGATCTTTCCTTGTGTCTTATGTGGGCATTTATTGCTATAAATTTTCCTCTAGATACTGCTTTAAATGTTTCCCAGAGATTTTGGTACATTGTATCTTCATTCTCGTTGGTTTTGAAGAAAATCTTTATTTCTGCCTTCATTTCATTGTTTATCCAGTCAACATTCAGGAGCCAGTTGCTCAGTTTCCATGAAGTTGTGCAATTCTCAGTTAGTTTCTTAAACCTGAGTTCTAATTTGATTGCACTGTGGTCTGAGAGTCTTCGTTATGATTTCCATTCTTTTGCATTTGCTGAGGAGTGATTTACTTCCAATTACATGGTCAGTTTTACAGTAGGTGCAATGTGGTGCTAAGAAGAATGTATATTTTGTGGATTTGGGGTGGAGAGTTCTGTAGATGTCTATTAGGTCCACTTGGTCCAGATCTGAGTTCAAGTCCTGGATATCCTTGTTAATCTTCTGTCTCATTGATCTGACAGTGACAGTGGAATGTTAAAGTCTGCCACTATTATTGTGTAGGAGTCTAAGTCTCTTTGTAGGTCATTAAGAAATTGCTTTATGTATCTGGGTGCTCCTGTATTGGGTGTGTATTTAGGATTGTTAGCTCTTCTTGTTACATTGATCCTTTTACCATTATGTAATGCCCTTCTTTGTCTCTTTTGATCTTTGTTGGTTTAAAGTCCATTTTATAAGAGACTAGAATTACAATTCTGCTTTTTTTTTCTCTCTCTCCATTGCTTGGTAAATCTTCCTCTATCCCTTTATTTTGAGCCTATGTGTGTCCCTGCACGTGAGATGGGTTTCCTGAATACAGCACACCAATGGGTATTGACTTTTTATCCAATTTGCCAATCTGTGACATTTACTGGGGCATTTAGCCTATTTACATTTAAGGTTAATATTATTATGTGTGAATTTGATCCTGCCATTTTGATGCTAGCTCGTTGTTTTGCCTGTTAGTGGATGCAGTTTCTTCATTGTGTCGACTCTTTACCATTTGGTACGTTTTTGGAGTGGTTGGTACTGGTTGTTCCTTTCCATGTGTAGTGCTTCTTTCAGGAGCTCTTGTAAGGCAGGCCAGGTGGTGACGAAATCTCTGAGAAATTGCTTGTCCACAAAGGATTTTATTTCTCCTTTGCTTATGAAGCTTAGTTTGGCTGGATATTAAATTCCAGGTTGAAAGTTCTTTTCTTTAAGGATGTTGAATATTCACACACCCCTCTCCCGCCACCTTCTGGCTTGTAGGGTTTCTGCCAAGAGATCCTCTGTGAGTCTGATCCTCTGTGAGTTTGCGGGTAACCCAATCTTTCTCTCTGGCCGCCCTTAGCATTTTTTCCTTCATTTCAACCCTGGTGAATCTGACAATTAGGTGCCTTGGGGTTGCTCTTCTTGAGGAATATCTTTGTGGTGTTCTCTGTATTTCCTGGACTTGAATGTTGGCCTACCTTGCTAGGTCAGGGAAGTTCTCCTGGATAATATCCTGAAGAGTGTTTTCCAGCTTGGATTCATTCTCCCCGTCACATTCAGGTACACCTATCAAATGTAGATTAGGTCTTTTCACATAATCCCATATTTCTTGAAGGCTTTGTTCATTTCTTTTTACTCTTTTCTCTAATCTTGCCTTCTCGTTTTGTTTCATTGAGTTGATCTTCAATCTCTGATATCCTTTCTTCTGCTTGTTCGATTTGGCTATTGAAACTTGTGTATGCTTCACAAAGTTCTCGTGCTGTGTTTTTCAGCTCCATCAAGTCATTTATGTTCTTCTCTAAGCTGGTTATTCTAGTTAGCATTTTGTCTAACCTTTTTTCAAAGTTGTTAGTTTCTTTGCATTGGGTTAGAACATGTTCTTTTAGCTCAGAGAAGTTTGTTATTACCCACCTTCTGAAGCCTGCTTCTGTCAGTTCATCAGACTCATTCTCCATCCAGCTTTCTTCCCTTGCTGGTAAGGAGTTGTGATCCCTTGGAAAAGAGAATGAGTCTGGGTTTTGGTATTTTCATCCTTTCTGTGCTGGTTTCTTCCCATCTTTAAGGATTTATCTACCTGTGGTCTTGTAGTTGGTGACTTTTGGATGGGGTCTCTTCTAGAACTGTTCAACAGCTATTCCTTTATTTAAAAAAAAAATAAGACTAAAACCAAACAAATAACAAACTAAAAAGATGGAAGAGTAGAAAGAGGAAGAAGAGAGAGCATTAGATAGCTTTTACTTCACTAACATAATGATATAGTAGAAAGGCATTAAGTCTCCTAGAGTTGAAAGAACAAGAAGACCTTAAATAAAATCAGAAGGTTAGATAGACCAGTGCCTTCAAGGCACAAGTTATCAAAAACAAAAACAACAACTTAAAGGATTAATTCTAAAAGCAAGAGAAGCTGAAAAGTACATGTAGGAAAACAGAATAGATGGAAAGATGACTTAAAATGGTAGGAGCCAGGAGAAAGTGATTTTAAATATTACTAAAAAATATTAACTCAAAAACTAAAAGCAGGGAATCATGACCATGGTATCAAAGAATAATTATAAGAGAGGCAAAGAAATCAGTAACTCTGAGAAATTTCTGGGCAAGAGAATAGGGCGCACCTCGGCAAAAGAATAGGGAGACTAGGGAATGCCATAAATGTATGAAAAGTTATCTTCCCTTCTCACTTTGCTCAGTAAACTGCTCTGGCAGTGTACCCTTATTGTATAGATTTTGTATACATCTAATTTTGCAGAAGTCAGTTTGCCTTTCCATTTCTCCATCTGTGAAATGAGAAGCTACTCTCTGACGTCACTTCAAACTCGAATACTCTATGATTCTATGATCTCCCGCTATGGTTTGCATATTTGACCCCACCAAACATCATGTTAAAATTTGATCCCCAATGGGTCGGGCCTAATAGCTACATAAACAGGCCAAGATAATCTCCAAATTTGCTCAGACTACATAATGCTTGGCTTAACACTTGGACTAATTATGGATAATAAATGACACTGATAGGAGCCTTCATAGAAACCATGAAGAACAGACAAGAGCCTAGAACTCTGGGACATGATATTGAGAAAAGTATCTAATATTATCACTGGGTAGTGAGAATAAAGATAGTCAAGGCTCAGTACACAATACCACAACTATGGCACATCGGCATACTGAGTAAGTTAAACAGAAGGAAATTATATTAGGTAGAAGCTCACTCTCTGACCTTCTCCCACCTTTCTCCCCTGAGGCCAGAAAAAGAATTATCTGATCTGTCTTCCAGATAGATAGAATTATCTGATCTGTCCCTTCCCTTTTAGGGTATAGGACAGGATTTCTCTGGAATGAGGGTCTTATGACCCTCATGGAAAGAAGCAACAGAAATAAAATATATAATATAACCCAAAAAGGGAAATGAAGACAGAGACACCAAGAAGAATCTGAACAAACAGGCCTGACTAAGTTTTCCCAGTTTATTACCATTAGATCATACCTCATTTTGTCCAATCATACTGTCTACTTGTTATCAAATCTAAGCATAAAAATACAGTTTTCCTTGTTTGAGAGGGTATTCATTTATAAGGGATCTTGTGCCATGCAAAAGTTGTATTAAATAAATTTTTAATGCTTTTATCTTGTTAATATGTCTTTGTTACAGAGTGTCAGACATGAACCTTGAGATGGATGAGGAAAAGATACTACCTTTTTTCCCTGCAAGGAGTAATCCAAGATCCATGCTGGGGTAGGAGGCAGGAAAAGATGAAGGAGGAGAACCTAGCCTGGTTATCATGCTATATCTAAACTTCCTCATTTGATAATATAAAAACCATTTTTTGGTTTCAATATAGAGCCCTTCTTTGAAAGCATTGCAAAAGCTATCCAGTGAAATAGAATGAAAAGTTGTGAATGACTCTCAAAGAAATGTGTCAAGAACTGTATAGCTGCATTACATAATAGAGTATATAAAAGGAACTGGGGAAGTTCATATAGGATGTAATGTTAGATACAAACTGAAACTACCATCTGAAAAGGAATCAATTCATGATTTGATCATCACAAAGTATCGAGCGTCTACCCTCAGTCAAACACCAGAAAGAGTCACAAGTGAAACACATAAGCCTAAAGTGAATACACATGCTTAAACTAAGTTCTAAGAAGATAAAATCAAGGCCAAAGTCTGCTATCTACTTCCCTATAAGATAAGGCACTGGAAAGCAATGGAAGTAAAATACGTAATAAATGTTATTTGAATCTCATGAAACAAATTACAACGGAATCTTAATCCATTCAAATAATCTTCAAAAATTGTTAGCCTATTCATTTCTTAAGTATTATTCAATTCTAAGTTGTCATCTAAACACCGTAGGACTCCACATTAATCCTATACATAACATTAGGCTACGAACAAAAACAGCTCTACAAAGAATACCTGTTTTTCCCCAACAGAAGGACACGAAGGCATCGCAGAGTAGAAAGCCCACTAATTTCTTCAATCTGGTTATCGCACAAATCCAGGGATATCAACTTCTGTAAATTAGAAAGATTTTGTATCCGAGTTATAAAATTATGTTGGAAGTTCAACAAACGAAGGTGTTCTTCCCCTTTGATGACAGGACATACAGTCAGCTTTTGCCTAGGAAAAAATTGTAAAAGTTAAGTAGGTTATGATTCAGCTGCCCACCTCCTCTTACGTTAGTAAGTATCTTTGTGCTCCCATTCTGTGATGAGCAAAAAATAAGTTGGACCACTTCCAACCCCCATGAACTAAGTGACTTATATTTAATTATAAATCATTCACAAAAAAGCCAATAGACTGTGACAGTGTTTATTATTAAAATTATGCCTAAGCTCTCATTGTATTAAAAAAAAAAACCTCAAACATAAGTTATTTCACATGAAATTGACTTAACATGAGAAAACATTCAACCTAATTGCCTTTTGTGATAGAGGTTTAAATGGCTGAAAGAATCTTGTCTCATAACCAGACAAATGCCCTTGGCATCAATCCACTGACGTAACAACTGCCCAGGCAACTAAGTCATCTGAGTTAAAAACATATAAAAGGGTCTCTCAGAGAGTCACAGGCTCTTGAGCTGGATGACATGTTCAAAAGAGCAAGAAATTCAGCCATCTACAATTCACTTTGATTTAAAAAAAAAAAATTCATCCTGAGATCCATTAATGGCAAGGTGGTCCTTACTTAACATTTCCTCAGAAACTAAGATTTTAAGTATATGTGTACATGCTCAACACTTTGAACTTTGCAGAGCATTTAGAGTGCTACAGGGTAGGATGAAACCTTAAAAATACATGCTTTCAGTTGTATTTAAAACAGTAAGCCATAGGCCAGGCACAGTGGCTCATGCCTATAATTCCAGAACTCTGGGAGTCTAAGGTGGGTGGACCTCCTGAGGTCAGGAGTTTGAGACCATCCTGACCAACATGGAGAAACCCCATCTCTACTAAAAGTACAAAATTAGCTGGGCGTGGTGGCACATGCCTGTAATCCTAGCTACTTGGGAGGCTGAGGCAGGAGAATCACTTGAACCCAGGAGGCGGAGGTTGCAGTGAGCCAAGATTGCACCATTGCACCCCAGCCTGGGCATCAAGAGTAAAACTCTGTCTCAAAAAAAAATAAATGAAACAAAAAGAAAACGAGTAAGCATCTATTATGCAAAATGTTATAATGTATTACAGGTGAAGTAAATGAGTTCAGGGCCCTTTAAGAATTCTAGTAGTAAAATAATAGCGGCTGACAGGAGGCCCTGAGTGATTCTACTCCATGAGGTTAAAAGGAGTCTTCAAAGGAAATGCAGCTCTATCTGGGTGTGAACAACTCTAATAGGGAAGTTTATTGGAAATATTCTCTTTCAGTAGAAATCAAGTTAATGTAAGCTTTAAAGAAAATAAATCAGAGCTTTACTAGCATAAGTGAAACTATGAAAATGATCAGAACTTTCCTGATAAAGAGAAAAAAAGAATGATTTGCAGAAAAAAAAAACTGAATGTTAATAGCTAAAAAAGATATGATGTTTAAAAATATAGATCCTAAAGAAACCTATTTAAGACAGTGGAAAGAAAAGAAATTTGGGGCAATATTTAATTCTTTTGATGTGTGGTTAATATTTATAATTAATTTCATGTATCAATTATTTTATCACAGAATATTTAAAATTCATTTCATATATTCAATTATTTTATCACAATATTTCCTCCAACTATTTTATCACAGCTGTGATAAATGAATAAACTTAGTATATAAATTATAAATTAATAAATTGTAAGTATTATACCTTAAAATTTATATCTTTGTGCATCAGCTTAGCAAAAACTTTAAATTGTCTCACTTCTCCTGCTTCAGTCTTTTTCTTTTTCTCTTAAAGTTGCTGATATTCCCCAACTTCTATTTCACCCAATTCTTGAATCAGTCATGACTAAGAAAGGAAAATAAATAACCTCCATCCTCCCTCTTACATAAGCTACAGTAGCTTGAAATAAAGTCACCTTCTCTGATTCTAAACACAGTGGTTAAGTCCCAGTGCCAAGGCTCACTTATATACCGCTTAACCCCACAAACCCCTGTCACTCCACCAAAACAAGCAAGCAAACATACATAATAACCAGAGGCCCAGTGCCCTCAAGGGAAGTTTCTAGGCCTAGAAAACTCTTGAGTTGCTACACCTCCTGTCCCATTACTGATACATCTATTGGACTAGGCCTTTGCTTCTGTGTTTCCTTATTGGTACTGATAGGCTGCCTTCCTGGTACTCCAGGCCTAACCTAACTCCCAAAACAGCTAGAGCCTAGCTCTTCCAAGCAGTTCTTCTCAGGGTTGGATTCTACTCTTGACCCCTCAGTCTCCTAGTTAAGAAGCTACACAGCATGGCAGATCTGCCTTTGGAAGTCACTGACGCTACTCACTGGCTCTCAGAAGTCACTCCTGAGTTAGTTCCTAGCTTCCAGCCAAAGTTTCTTGACTGTGCATCCTGGCTCTTGTCAAACTGTGCCTAACTTTATGACATCTTTGTGATTCTGCCAGTTCACAACCAACTTTTGAAGCCGAATCAGTTCTCTTCATCCTGATTTTCTTGATAAGCAAGTCTCCGCCTAATCAAAGTTTGCTTCTCCACCCCAGAGGCCCATGCTGTTAAGGACCCATCTTTACAACTGCCTGAGTCACCCCAAGCTACAAAGAAAGTGCCTAACTTGTTACTGGCTCCTGCTAATATCAAGTAACATGAAACTGAAGGGCTGAGGTACTATTTTTGGCCAGTCTTTCAAATAGTAAGAGAAAAGTTATCATAAAAATCCCTCAAAACATTAAAATGATATCATGAAAGGTATAAATATTAGACAGCATTCTCAGAAACCACTTATACTGCAAAGACGTCATGAGAGATACTGCCCTTCAGTGTTAGGTTGCCTGCAAAAGAACATGTTAGAACCTCCAGCAGTTTTTCCCAACTATAAACACAGATAGTTCAATATATTTGTTGTCAGGTGTGCACTGCTAAGCTAAAGGTATGCACAACAGAGATGTTTTTTCTCTGCTGGCTATGCCATTGGGGTAGAGGTTGGGATCCTGCATCCACCATTCTACTGTGGATAGTTTCCTAGATGTGAAGACGGGGATCGAGTTCTAAATGCATTTGTTCACTTAAAAAAATTGTATCAAGAGCCTGTTTTGTACCAGGTTCTGCTCTAGATATCAAGAATACAGAACTGGACAAAAATTTCTGTGCTTATGGAACCTGTATTCCAGTAGGAGACAGACAGTAAACATAAGTAAATAGTTATTATGTTATAGGGTTAATAAATGCTAAGAAGAAAAATAATAAAAGCAGAGAAGGGAGCTGGGGACTAAAGCATGGAAGGGGTTGCAATGTTGGAAAGGATGGCCAGAGAAAATCAGCCCTGAAATGATGACATTTGAGTGAAGACCTGAAGGTGGTAAGGGAATGAGCCTAGAGATATGAGGAGGAAGAGCAATCCAGGCAGCAAGTACCAAACTCCTGAGGTATAATCATTCTTGGTGTATTCAAGGAACAGCAAGGAGGCAGGTATGGTTCGAGCAATGACTGAAGGAGAGTGTAGGAAGAGATAAAGCCAATGAAGTAACAGGAAACTAAACTAGATAGGGCCCAGGAAGCTCATGTGAAGATTATATTGCATTTTTTTCCTATACTGAAATCCATTTTCATCAATGTCATATTTTAGAATTGCTATAGTACTCTTGTAGAGTATACTCAAGCTCTTTTATGTTACATAGATATAAAATTCCTCAGCATACCTCTGGAAGGAGAAGCAAAACAGTGGTAAAAAAAAAAAAATGATTATATGTAGGTAGAAGAATTGAATAACTGGGGAAGAGGAGGAAGGAGGGAGACTTGCATCTTTCAAATCTTGTACCACGTCTATGTATTACCTAGTCAAAAAAAGAAAAGAAAAGAAATTGTCCTCACCTTTCTAGGCTCAACCTGTCTGAGTAAAGAATTTTCTCTTCAGAAGAACGTTGAAGAATAGGAAATGATGACAATGATGAGCTCACCAAATTAATATGATCACCTATTAAAAATGATATACAAATTACTTAATTCAGAAAAACCTTCAAAGTCTTGAAACTAAAGTCACCTTATATTTGGAGAATGTTGGCACCTATAGATATCATATCTAGAAAGCATAGTTTCTATAGCTCTCCATATTTGAAATTACTAAGTTGAATTTGTTTCTTTCCTCCTTAAACCTAAACTATGTGTTCCGTATATGCCAAATAATGTTTCCCTTGCCTTACAGATTGGTTGAAAGTACAGAACTACTTCAGTGCTATCTTTATCCCTTTATAATCCTGACTCCTTAAGTTTTAGCTCTCTTATAACTAAGATGATAGTCCCTCATTACCAGATACATTGGGGCCAGCACTATGACAGCCCTGCCGGATTCTGGATTTTGAAGGTGTCTTAATGGAAGAATCTCCAAATGCTGATAAGGAGCTCGTGGCAGTTTTCATTTCCAGCCCATATAGTTCTGTCACATTTGTTGTGGATGAGATGCATGATGATTTATTACAAGGCGAAGGACTTATTACTCTTCCATCTCCTTCAAAATATCAAAAAATTTATCACAAAACTACATAATACATGACTTTACTATAGGTTTACTACAGGAAATACACAAAAAGTAGTTTTGGATAGCAGATGTAAACCTCATATCATCTCTTTCTTTGTATGTTCAGCCACTGTTAGTAAAGAATATTGCCAAGACACCAAAGTGGATGTCAATAAATGTAGTATACTTGTTGTTAGGGTCCACAGGGTATATGATGCGTCTCTAAGGTTCATAGGCCGTTTGTTAGGTGGTGTCCTTGCCATTATGTAGCTTTCAATCTAGCAGACTGAAATTAATAAACACACATAGGAAATTCATAAATAGAACAACATACATAAATGCAGAATAAAAAGAATACCTACTTATAAATTTGCACATAAATGTGTCTGGTAATTTTTTACTTAATGAAGGTAGATACAGATGGGTCTGGCGGGAGGAACATTAAGACATTTTCTAAAGAACCAGGAGAATGTAAATGGTCAAGAAGAAACGATAAGGAGTTCCAGAAATGAGGTAAGATTTGAGTAATGGGTCAAACGTGACAGTTTGAATGCCAGAGGAAATCTACCATATTTTCCTCTATAAAAAGAAAATCTTCTGAAAGCAGAAACGGATGTTGAAACGCTTGAAGGAAGCAATAAGTATAACAGTAAAATAGAACCTGAAGTTTCCACAGAATTCTGCTGTTGAAACTAACAAAAAGATGAAAACCAAATCTAGAAAGCTAACCTACTCTTTGGGAGGTCACCAGATAATATAATGACAACTTAAAATCAAGTTGCATATAAATCATATTAAAAAGCTATCAGGTCATGGCATTTGCTAGCTTCTTCAGGTCTATAAGGCATAAACTGAAGTATCTCACACCTTATTTCTTGAACAAAATAATCAGTGCTCACATCTCACTTTTCTGAATATTATGAAATATCAAGATAATAACGATGTTCTAGAGCATCAGCATTCAGAATGGACACCATATTCACCAATGAACTGATTTCCTCGCAAGACCACATGCTATCAGGATACCCAAGCAACCACAAGTCAGAAAGTTGATTTGGTAATCAAGTCAAGATGGTTAAAAAAACAAAAACAAAACAAACAGAAACCATCCTAAAGGCTGATGCAGTCTAAGAATTAACTAAGTAAAGATTAATTGCTTAACTAAAGATAAAAAATGGAAAATCTCCAAGCAGCAGTCAACCTCAGTTTCGCTTGTTAGCATCAGTTAGGTTTTTTGAATTATTTTGTTAAGCTTCAAGGCAATCCTCAATTTTTAAGAGGCAGATTTAAACTTTATAAGACTTGAGATACCGAGGCAATAATTGAAGATTAAATTTAATTTACACCCAGCAAATAGAGGAATTTTATTCTCAAACTTTCTAGCTCTTTTTATATACAGAAGTCATAATCGCTATCGGCACAATGAACTTGCTATCAATGTGATATACTGCTTATGACAATAGAAAGAGATAAGAATGATTAGTAAAAAGCCTTAAATGTATTGCACAACAAGATCTTCTAAATAACTAGGAACGGGAGAGATCTGCAGTTAAAATGTCCACATATATATGCGGGTATAGAAACACCCACATGAAAACCACATTACTATGTGGCAAAATTTTCATTGTAACTGTTTGTTACTGTTTATTTCATTTTGCTTTCTTTCTCTTTTTCTCAGACAGGGTCTTGCTCTGTCACCCAGGCTGGAATGCAGCGTGGCATGATTACAGCTCACTGCAGCCTCAAACTCCTGGGCTCAAGCAATCCTCCTACCTCAGCCTCTTGAATAGCTGGGACTACAGGCATGTGCCACCACATCTGGCTAATTTCTGTATTTTTTTTACAGATGGTGTTTCATCATATTGCCCATGTTCAAGACTTGAACTCCTGGGCTTAAGCAATTCACCCCCCGTCTTGGCATCCCAAAGTGCTGGGATCAGAGACATGAGCCATAGCAACTGACTTATTATGTATTTCTTATATCACTATTTAACCTACCAGATATGCATCCCTTGTCTTCTCAATTAAATTTACAATCTCCTTGAGTGATGGACTTCATTTTATATTTTTTATATCCTTGGTAAAGTCTAAATTCAGTAGGCAATCAGTAGACAAATTGTTTTTCCAGTTTACTAAGACTAATTGAAAATCTATTTTGTGTGTATTATTTCTGTTAAAAAAAATCTCAATATAAATAGCATCTAAAAGTGTTAAGAAGTATAATGGTCTAAATTTGGTGAGAATGTTCACTGTGCTGTATGCTAGATACACAGATGGCTGGATGGTTGGTTGGATGTATGAATATATAGATAAGGAGATGGATGCATGGATAGATAAATGAACAGATGGGTAGATGAACAGACAGGTGGATGGACGGATGGTGTAGGACCTATTGCCATACATGTGTGTCCAATCGGCCCTGTCCTTGAGATTGTTTTGGGAACCAAAATCTTAACTCTGGATTTTCCAGTGATTTACTATTATCTTAAGAGAAAAGTGTTGCCTCTTCCCTGCTACACACACGTTTTAAAATTCCTAATCAAGGGATTTTATCAATTAAGGTTAGGTTAACTGAAATTTTACTATATAGTAGGCCCTGCACTTATAAAATCTCAAAGAAACAGGGGTTAACTCTTAACAATATTCTAAGAAGCCTAAAATAAATCACATATCAAGTTTTAAATTCACTAGCTTAAATAAAATACCAAGTTTCTTTACTTTTGACTGAGAGTATCATTGGTTAATTTGTGTGGATAGGCTATGTTTGATTAATTAAAAAAAAAAGAAATGGCTGAAATTAATTATAATGATTAGGTATCAGGATACAGCATATTAGACAGACATCCCTAAACTTTTCCTGATGAAGTGCTACTTATAATTTTTCCAAAATTGTAAGCCCTTGTAGGTAAAATCTGAGTACAAAAGTCAAGAAAATAACCATAAGTTGTGTGGCCTTCTTTGCACAAAACTGCCTAGAACTATGGAGCAAACACATTGGAAGTAACCAGGTATACATCTAAGACATGTCAAATGAGGATCTTGTCACAGAAACTAATTTTGAATAAAATTTTTAAATGAAAAACCAATTAGGTTTTTTTTCCCTAAAGAGTTAATTCATACTGAATGGGTCATTATTTATGTATAAAACTTTATTCATCTCTCAGGTTCACAAAATTCAATGCATCCATACTATTTCCTCATTAGCAAATATCTAGTAATACTTGACCACTTAAATAAATTTGCTTGGCCAGCTATCCTTAAATCTGTTTACTAACTCCTTACTCTTACTCAAGAAAAGCTTAGTCAAAGTACTTAAGTTTGATTCATGACTTTGGAAAAACTTTTAAGATATTGTTACCAAAAATGTCAAGGAGATTCACAATGCAAACATAAAAACCCTAGTTGAGGGTTCACATCTATAATGCTGTGCCTAAGGCAGTGACTGGCACATAACACTTGCTTTATAAATATGTACTGAACTGAATCAAAAAAGGCAAGACAGATGCTTCCTGCACTGTGGAACTGCAGTTAGGCTGATGTCATGTCCAGCAATTGGCCAAGACAAGAGTGTAGAATGTAGGAAAGAGAAAAGATGTGTCAGATTAGATGAGTCCAAGAGGTAGGCCCAGAAAAAAAAAAGAGAGAAAATTAACCAATGTTCAAAAATCACCATATGTTCCCAAAGTAATGGCATAAACAACCTAGAAAGGCCTATACTGACCAGCCCTCTCATGTAAACTCCTAAGAGGTAGAGGTAGTTTTGTATATGTGGATTCAGAAGTCTTTAACATGAGCACATTACAGAGAGCTAATGGCCGTCAGCAACAAGCTAAGATTCAAATGTGAAGGAAATTTGTCCTTGATTTGAAAAATATATTTCAGAAATATAACCAGATCATATGAGGCAGTGTTTGTCAAAAGATGACCCACAAGCCGTAGATCTCAGAATCACTTGTGACATTATTAAAATGCACATTTCCAAGTCCCACTCAAGACCTACAAAATTAGAATGGGGAAGAAGGAGGGGGAGCACTAAGAAGCCGCATTTTTCACAAGATCCCAAGTGCTAGACACTAAAGTCGAAGGCCTTTAATATAAAATCTATTATTATATGTGATTGAAACAGAGAAAGATTGTTTCTTCTCTACTCCTGACTTTCCATTCTTTCCTTATTTCCTTAACATATGTGTTCCCATACTCTTACTCTCACTAATTCACAACTTCCAAATGCGATTTTAATATGGTATTTGGAACATTCTTTTTCCATTCATTAGTGTATAGCCCACACTCAAACTAAAATAATAACAGCTTTTTCTGTACTGGAAATAATCTACTATGCTATGTATATAAAACAAATTTTTTTTTAAATACCAAACCAATTTGGTCCCAATGAACCATTTCATTTTAAATTCAAGTTTATTTGAATCTAGTAATTCAACATTATTAAACAGTTAATATTATTCAAAGATGAAGAACCACATCTGATCTCTACTCACTGACAATACCTTGCCTACTTGAGCAATTTCTTTCAAGTTCATGTTGTAAAAGTCTCCCGGGGAATGACGACGTGTCTTTATTTAGCTTGAATTCAACCTGAAAAACATTATTAAATAAAAAAATATTTGGAGATGAATTTATCACTAAGCAACAGAGATAATTTAAAAACAACATATAATGACTGATACACATGCTACAATGTGGATGAACCTTAAAAAGATCGTGCTAAGTGAAAGAAACCAGACACAAGACCACATAGGCAAATCCATAGAGATGGAAAGCATATCTGTGGCTTCCACATGTTTCAGAGAAGCAGGGAATGGGAAGTAAGTACTTAATGGGTTCAGGGGTTTCTTTTGGAATGATGAAAAAATTCTGGAATTAGATAGAGGTGATGGCTGTACCTCTGTTATTGTATTTTACCATGCACAAATCAGGGTCACTTTTATGAGGTCAGATAAAAGATACTCCAAGCTGAGACACTTCCAATCCCTGCACTCTCACCATTAATACAATGATTAAAAGAATCATTTGCTACAAAAAAGCACACAATATAAATAAAATGCTGTTGAAAAACATCACTGTTTTGATCATTATAATCCCTTTAAATGTCCTATTACAACATAATAAAATTGTGTATTTAAGCCTTCTAAGAGGGTTTTCACTTGATCTAAAACTGATCTAAAATAATTATCTGGTAGGAAGACTGAGAAAAACAAAACCAAAACAACTTCTTATGACTAGCCACAAAAAAACCCAAATATGTTATCTTTTTTTTTTTTTTTTTGAGACGGAGTTTCGCTCTTGTTACCCAGGCTGGAGTGCAATGGCGCAATCTCGGCTCACTGCAACCTCCGCCTCCTGGGTTCAGGCAATTCTCCTGCCTCAGCCTCCTGAGTAGCTGGGATTACAGGCACGCACCACCATGCCCAGCTAATTTTTTGTATTTTTAGTAGAGACGGGGTTTCACCATGTTGACCAGGATGGTCTCGATCTGTTGACCTCGTGATCCACCCGCCTCGGCCTCCCAATGTTATCTTAAATGAATTAAGATGCTTCTAATTTATCCATACTACAAACATTATGTTGGCATTCCTTAGGAATTATATGATCTAAAGGTATTTTTATCAGAATAGATGTGCACACAAGATAAAGTGAATGATTTGGAAAGAATGTTTAGATGAGGCACATGGTTCCTAGAAACATTGTAAGGGTGAAAAAGGATTTATCCAGTGAAATCAGTTAGGAAAGCTCTGGAGGGAATCCATTATGCCCAATTATAATAAAGAATATTTTCAATTAATCTAGCTAACTGCTGTTTATTTGAGATGATCAAATGGTCTATTTTCTAAGTGTTCACCATTTTCATATTCATATATAATGTAATCAACACTGCCTCCTTGACTAAAGATGCCCTTCCATTTATCTTCCTCCCCTTCTTCATGCTGTTATCTGTGAATTCTGCCCTTCACTTTAGAGTTCTTCCAGTGACACCTATTTAATAACTTTTTAGGAAACACCTGAAGTGTGATGGTTAGAGGTTTCCAACTTGGTCAAAGGAAGAAAAATCATGGTGTGTCTTGAGATATAGTTGTATAGGAGGTAGGGGGGTATGAATGCTGAGGTGGGACAGAAGGGAAAGAAAAACATGTTTATCCCAAAATCTCAAAAACTAAATCAAAAGCCAGAAATTCTGGAAATGCTAGAGATTGAGCCAATAGTCTAGGAGAAAAAAATCTCATATTCATATCTTAGCTTCTAAATAACATTAAGCCTAACATGTGTCCACTGCTAACCTATTTTTTTCTTTCCTGATTTTAAATGGGATGTGCGGATATGCCCTCACAAATTACCATTTTATCTAAGGTGTCATCAGTAGTAAGACATACCATTATTTTACCCTTGACTAAGAAAGAAAAAACCTCCAGAATTAAACTATGACGTACCATCAATGTTACGAAGGCTCCTGATTTCAGAAATGTATAAATATTGCTGGGTGTGGTGGCTGTCGCCTGTAATCCCAGCACTTTGGGAGGCCAAGGCAGGTGGACTGCTTGAGCTCAGGAGCTTGAGACCAGCCTGGGCAACATGGCAAAACCCCATCTCTACAAAAATACAAAAATATTACCCAGGTGTGGTGGCGTACACCTGTGGTCCCAGTTACTCAGGAGGTTGACATGGGAGGATCACTTGAGCTTAGGAAGCAGCGGTTGCCATGAGCCAAGATTGTGCCACTGCACCCCAGCACCCCAGCTTGGGTGATAGAGCTAGACCCAGTCCCAAAAAAATAAAAAAGGGAAAATGGTAAATGTCAAAAAAAAAAAAAACCCTTACCTTTTGCAATGAATGAAATAACATTAAGTTTTTAAAGAGGGCTTTTTTGGCTTTATGTAGGCAGAAAGTAAGAACTAGCCTTAAACTGGAAATCAAATATACTTAAATTTTTCAGTTTAGAATCTACCCTTTAAATCATGCTACTATTTGTGTAGAATATAAAACAATCTGCAATTTAAATGCCAACCTGCTTAAATCTTACTTTGTTTTTTTCAGGAAGCGATGATGTTTGAATAACCAGATGAAGCCCGCAGTTCACCTGAAATGTAAAAATAAACCATAAAATTTGCTCTTAATACACACATATTTCAAAAAATGTACATATAAAAATAAAACCAAAAAATAGAACAGAATGCTCGACTTCTGTTTCCGGTAAATGGTCTTGAGCTGAGGATTTGCTGAAAACAATAAAAATCACATCTAAGAATTAAAAGGTTTCACTCATTTATTTTTCAAAATGTCGGCAGCTTAACCCTCTGGTTAGTACCTCAGGCTTTCGACATTTGCCATTCATGTCTAAATAAATATCTCATTGGGACAGGTGGACCTCTTCACAGTTAAATGGCGCGGGGGGAGGGGAGGGTGGAGAAAAAGGAAATGACTGGCTAAAGGAATTTAAATAAACCCGAGATTTTCACAGCAGACCAGCTCCACCTTCTGGGGAGCCCAGATCCTGGACAAGACTTTGAATATGCATCATACAATATTAAATTGTGCCTCGGTCCAGCCCACGAATCTCAAGCCCGGGTCAGACAATAGCTTGAATAGACACAGCGGTCCCGGTCCCAATAATGCAGCCCATCTTCTAGGACAAAGACGCCAGTAAAAAAGAATACCAATGTGAAGAAAGAGGAAGTAGAAGGCCCAACTTACGTTGTTCGCAGCCCGGCCAGAAACAGAGCGGTATTTCCCGGGAATCATGATAGGAGACAGTCCAGGATCTCTGATAGATCTGCCTTCGAGGTGACGCTACAGCAGATATTCAAAGAGACCCGAAAGAGGTCATCTCCCAGGCAACCTGCTCAGGGTTACCATAGAAACGACCATTTCCGGTCTGGACCTCTCCCTAATCGATGGGGCAACACAGTCGTTGTGGCCTCTGCTTGTATTCGTGAGGTCCCACTGCGTCAACACTTCCTCGTTCTATTTTCTCGGCCTCATAAAAACAGAGCAGGAGTACTGGGAGGAGGATAAGCTGGGGAAGAGGCTGGGCACATTGGTAGCTATGACAACCACCACTTCCGGTCCGTTCCTCTTTACGGCCCACCTCAGCGCGGCCCGCGCGAAATTTGTATCCCTCTGCTTATGTCTACTGGTTCCTGGGTAGCCGTGCAGGAATGAGGAGGAGGAAGATATCGAAGAGCCCTCCCACTGGGGGCTGCAGATCGCCACTTCCGGTGACCAGAGGTAGGGAAGGAAATAATCCCGACCCGGAGTGGACAGGTGAGGAGGGGAGGACTTGCCTCGCCGAAGCCGCCGCGAGGAGCGTGCCCAAGGGCGAAGGTCCGGAGACCTCAGCTCCCGGGCACCGAAGACGACCGCCATGCCTGCCCGTTGCGTGGCCGCCCACTGCGGCAACACCACCAAGTCTGGGAAGTCGCTGTTCCGCTTCCCCAAGGACCGGGCCGTGCGGCTGCTCTGGGACCGCTTCGTGCGAGGCTGCCGCGCCGACTGGTACGGGGGCAATGACCGCTCGGTCATCTGCTCTGACCACTTTGCCCCAGCCTGTTTCGACGTCTCTTCGGTTATCCAGAAGAACCTGCACTTCTCCCAGCGCCTGAGGCTGGTGGCAGGCGCCGTGCCCACCCTGCACCGAGTGGCCGCCCCGGCACCTAAATGGAAAGAGGAGGGAGCTCAAGCAAGCCGCCCCGACACGAGAGGAGCGCTCCAGGCAGCCAGGCATTCTGCGGCTGTCCAGTGTCCAGTCTCCTGTACACGCCCCCGGGCTGGGAAGCGCGCTGCGGCTTCGCAGGTAAAGAGGGAGGCCACCAAGGGTTATGGAAGGACTCCTGGACTCTGACTGGGCTCCTCCACTTAGCGTCACCTTGGGAAAGGCACCTCATCTCGAAAACAACATTTCTGTTTTCTAATCTGTAAAGTTAGGAGTGTGCTTTAGAGGTGATCTCCAAGGTCCCATTTAGTATTAACATTTTGGAATTAAGTGACCCAGTTAATTCCTTCTAACTGCTCCTCCCTCAAAATTCTCACACGCAGTCTTGTCCTGCAGAGTACTGAGTTGCTTTCACTCGCTGCTCCAGAGTTTTTAAATAGAAAGGGTTTGGTTTGAGCAAATCTCAAGAATTGGAGTGCTTGAAACTGTGTTTGCATAACGTTACATAAGTTTGAAGAACGTCCATTATTTGTCAAAAATGTTAGGGCGAAGGAGATGTGGAGCTACAGATGAAGATGGGGCTTGCTAATAAATCCCTTCTCACCCCTAACATTCCTTTTGACTGATACTACCTCTAGCTGTCTTTAAGTTAAGTATCCCTGGTGAGCTGAATTTCCCCATCTTGCTCTCTTCTGCCTACTTTTCTGTTCCTGCTAAACATTGTTTGCACTCATTTTGGATCTGGTTACTACTACCTTGTTCCCTACTTGTCATTTTAAAGAAAACTTCCCAGCTTTCCTTGAGATAAACTTCAGCCTTCCCGCCATTACACAGATGAAATTATAGCAAGAGGTTAGTAATTTCCTCAGGGGTTTGTAATCCTTACTCTAGGTCCGGTTGCCAGACCGACACTCTTTCAGCAGTACCAACGTGCTTCCTACATTAGGGTGGGTGTTAAGACCCTTTAATGGCATCCTGCAATTATTAGGATCAAGAACAAAATTATTAACCCAACTTACATGGCCCTGCATGCTTTTCCCCCTGCATACACCAGCCCCATCCAAGGCCATTGTTCCCGTTGCTCACTGTGTACCATCATGCTGACCTTTCAGTTCTTGGACATATTATATTTCTTCCTACCAACAAGACTTTGCTCAGTTTTTCCATGTATTATAATATCCTGGAATTATGCTCCTCCCACTCCCCATCATCACCAATTAAGTCTTTTTCCCTTAAAAATCAGCTAAACGTGTTTCCTCTTGATCCCCTAGTTATGTACTCTCATTCGTGTACTCCATGTGATTCAATAGCACAGATATTTCAGTAGCACTTATCATAATTGCCATGAAATAATCATGTAAGTTGCTTAATATTTGTGTCTCACATTAGAATGTAAGCTCCGTGAGAGCTAGGATCGTGTCTGATTTCTTTGCCATTGTATTGCAGTGCCTAGGACAATATTTTACAAATTTAAATAATTCAATAAATATTTATGGAATGATTACATGACTATAAGAATAGTTTTTTGCATTGTAATTGAATTTTCAATTCTCTGCCAGTTTCCCTTCTCATCCAGCTGTATACCTGTCAAGATACCTGCCCTTTCCTTGAAGCGTCTGTCCACCGTCATCAGCTATGCACTTTGCTCAAACATACACATATATATGTGTGTAGAAAGAGAGATAAATATTAAACATGTGCCACACATATCCCCCTACACCATTTTTCTTCTTCATACTTATACAATCTAATAAAAAATTGGGAGAAGAAAGTCAAGCTAGTGAAATAACCAGTCTTTGTAACCCGTAAAAACTAACCATTGGGAAACAGATCCAGCATACATAATAAATCGGTTTTCCATTTAGTAAGCACAACCATCCAACGTTTATAACAATCCATATTACATTAATATACCTGCTGAATTGCTAGGAAACTACGTATGAGTTCTAAAATAGTCACTTTAGAAATATATAAGATTAAAAATATATTTTTTTAGTTGATAGCAATACATGTTTAGCCTAGTCTGGATAGAGAGCCATAATAACATCGCTAAAAAATTGACTTGTGTATCTGACTTCTCCCACCCAATGTTTTCTTCCCAATCCCAGGACCAACTGTCTAAAATTCAAATTTCCAGTCATTCTACATTTATTGAATAGCTATTGTAGACAGTGTTCTGGGTGCTTGGTGCTATATATAGATAAATATAAATATGAATGTTACATATCTTTATGGGGCTTCAGAAAAGATAAGAGACCACTTCCAAGGAAAGGAGCTTGATTATTGTTTTCCCTTAACTGTTAATTTTGCATTCAATTTCTCTTAAAAGTGCTTTATGGCATTCAATCTAGAGATCTTATATATCTTTCATTGGATTTATTCACAGTATTTGATTTTGCTACTATAAATGGTATTTTCAATTTTGTAATCTGTAAGTGTATATTGATAAATTAATTTTTGTTGCACTTGTATCCAAAAACTCACTTATTAATTCCAATAGTTTTTAAATTCTCTTGAATTTTATACATGTACAAATATATAATCTGAAAAAATGTTTTTGATGTTCATGTTTTTATTTCGTATTTTTCCTGTTGCACTGGCTTGAACCTGCCGTACAGTGCGGGGAACAGAAGAGGTGAGAGGAATCCTTTTCTCATTCCTAATTTCAGAGGGGAAGCCTTTAATATTTCCCCATTTGATACGATTTTTGCTATAGTTTCTTCTAGCTGCTCTTTTTAATAAAAAGAAATGTTCCCCTTTATTCCTAGTTTAAATGATAAATAATGGTGAATTTTATCAAATGGTTTTTCTGAATTAGGATAACATTTTTATTATGTTAATACAGTAAATTATATTGCCTGGTTTTAAAATACAGAATCAAACTGGCATGGCTAAAATAAACTCAATTTGGTCAAGCACTTTATTCCTTTTCCATATTGCTTACTAAAATATTAGCAAAAATAAAATATTTAGGATTTTTGCATCTGTGTGCATGAGTGAAACTGGCCTACAGTTTTTTTCTTTCTTGGAGTGTCTTTTTCAGGTTTGGGTATGAAGACTGCCAACAAATTTGGAATTGTTCTCTCTTCGTCCTCTGGAAATGTTTATGTAAATTGGCATTATATATTCACTAATACATTTGGTATTAATACTTGGTAGAACTCATTGATAAGACACCTAATCCTGGAGTTTTCCTTTTGGAAAGGTTTTTTTTTTTAATGATCAATTTGATTTCTTTGTTATAAGGTTACTCAGAGTTCTTTTGTTTATCCATTTTGATAAAATAGATACATTTTAAATTTAAAAAATTTTTAATTTTAAAAATTTAAATGTATTGACACAAAACCTTCATGATAATTTTGTATTTGAAAAAATTCTGTTTGAGCCGAAGTAATTTTTGGTTTTTCATTTTTTCTTGATCAGCTTCACTGCATGGTTTATTGATTTTTCTTTCTTCTGTTTTAGACAGAGTCTCACTCTTTTGCCCGGGTTGGAGTGCAGTGGCGCCATCTCGGCTCACTACAAACTCTGCCGCCTGGGTTTAAGCAATTCTCCTGCCTCAGCTTCCTGAATAGCTGGGATTACAGGCGCCTGCCACCTCGCCTGGCAGAGATGGGGTTTTGCCATCTTGGCCACCCGCCTCAGCCTCCCAAAGTGCTGGTATTACAGGCATGAGCCCCCGCACCTAGCGGCTTATGGATTTTTATTAGTCTTTTCAAAAAATAAACTTTGCCTTGTTGATCTCTCCAGAAATTTTTTTTCATTTATTTCGCTTATTCATTATTCCCTTTCTCTACTTTTTAAAATTTTGTCCACTGTTCTTTCTCTACTTTTTAAAATTTTGTCCACTGTTCTTTCTTTCCCTTTTTAAGAAGTTAAATTATATCATTGATTTTCAGAATTTTGTTTTTTTTTTTGAGACGGAGTTTCGCTCTTGTTACCCAGGCTGGAGTGCAATGGCGCGATCTCGGCTCACCGCAACCTCCGCCTCCTGGGCTCAGGCAATTCTCCTGCCTCAGCCTCCTGAGTAGCTGGGATTACAGGCATGCGCCACCATGCCCAGCTAATTTTTTGTATTTTTAGTAGAGACGGGGTTTCACCATGTTGACCAGGATGGTCTCGATCTCTTGACCTCGTGATCCACCCGCCTCGGCCTCCCAAAGTGCTGGGATTACAGGCGTGAGCCACTGCGCCCGACCAGAATTTTTATGGTGAATGGTAAATGGCACAGCTAGGTTTCACAAGCTTGATAGAGGACAACCTGAGTCCTGAGAGGGGGATACGTTAGAGATATGTTGTGGAATACTTTTTGCATGATAATAATACTAATCTAAATTAAGCCTAATTAATTTTTCTATGCTAATATATGCATTAAAGATTTAAAATCCCCACCTAAGCATGGCTTTACTGAATCTTATAAGTTTTAGGTATGGAGTATTTTTATTATTATTTAGTATAAAATATCTAATTTCCATTATGGTTTGATCTTTTACTCGTGGGTTATTTAGAAGTATATTTTTAAATTTCCATATCTCTGGGCATTTTTTAGTCAAATTTTTGCAATAGATTTCTAGGCCAGTTACACTATTGCCAGAGAAAATACGATATATGGACTTAATCTTTTGAAATTCTTTGAAACTTGTATTATGCCCAAAATAGTTTTTTAAGTGTTCCATATGTACTTGAGATGAATGTGCACACTGCAGCTGGATGGTGTTCCACAGATGTCTGTTAATCACGTTTAAATTTCCTATATCCTTTTGGAATTTTTATCTTATTCAATTAATTACTAAGAAAGTGTTGCAATCTTCCACTGCAATTTTGAATTTACATATTAATCTTCAAATTCTATCCATTTTGTGGTATATATCTTGAAGCTATGTTATTAGGTTATTAGCAATGTTATTGGGTATGCATATATTTTGATGCTATGTTATTAGGTATGTAGTGCTAATAAAGCAACACCAGCTTCTTTAACATAAAGAAATGCATAATACATCGGTTTCCGTCCTTCTACTTTCAATCCTTCTGTGTCCTTAGAAGTTTAGGCGTTATTCTGTCTTACGGTTACACCATTGAAGAGAATGTATCTTTTCTTCTCTGGCTGCTACTAAGTTTTTCTCTCCATTTTCACAGTAGTGTGCATAGGTTTGTTTTCAGTTATTTTTATTTTGATAAATAGAAAGGGTTTAAAACTGTCTTAATGCCTTCTTTTTGATAAATTCTCAGCTGTTACTTGTTCAAATATTGCTTCTGCCCCATTTTATGTTATACTTTTAACTCTTATCCCATATGTGTTATGATATTTTCTATATTTTCTGTCTTTCTTTTGCCTTTTTCTGCCTCATTCTAGATACTTTCTTTTGACTCATATTTTAGTGGATTAATACATGCCTGGAAATTCTACCTCTAAGCTTTAATCTGAAGAAGCAATCAGACAGGTACACAAGAGATTTATGTTCGAATATTTCTAATAATATGGATTGTTTTAATAAATTGTATATCTGTGTAATACATTTCTATGTGGCCATAAAAATTATGATGTAGAATATTTAATAACATAGAAAGATTATATATATATATATATATATATATAAGTGGGTAAACTAGGTTATAAAGCATTATGTGATCTCAATTTAGGTTATAAAGCATTATATGATCTCAATTTTTTAAAATACATAGGAAAAGACAAAAACACATCAAATATAAAGTTTTAGCCATGGATTGTGAGATTATGACTAATTTTTAGTTTCTTTTGCTTCTTTGTATGGTGCAAATATTTGCAGTTTAAAAATGTATTATTATTATAAAGGGAACAAAAGTTATTTTTTAAACCCTGATTAAATATCTAAAACTCTATTTTATCCAGAATACACCTTTTTGTAAAGAAATATGTGCTTATTCTAGACTTTGACAATGTTTGGCTTAGAAGTAGATGTAACTACTGAAAATTGATCATTATTTTATAAACATGAATAGAGATAAGCCCTTTAAATAAGACTCATGTTGCAAAGGGACTCTTTACAAGAATTTATTCACAAAGTTGTGTGTGTGTGTGTGTGTGTGTGTGTGTGTGTGTGTGTGAGACAGTCTTGCCCAGCCTGGAGTGCAGTGGTTTGATCTTGACTCACTGTAACCTCCACCTCTTGGCTTCGAGCAGTTATTGTGCCTCAGCCTCCTAAGTAGCTGATGGGCCGTCACACCAGCTAATATTTGTATTTTTAGCAGAGATGGAGTTTCACCATGTTGGCCCATCTGGTCTCGAACTCCTGACCTCAGGTGATCCTCCCGCCTCAGCCTCCCAAAGTGCTGGGAGGCATAAGCCACTGTGCCTGGCTACAAAATTTCTTTAACTTGAGTACCAATAGCCTATGGTACAGCCACCAAAGACACCTGCTAAAATATTTTTTCAGTGCTTTGAAGGCAGCTGCCACTACCTGAAGGCTGTAGGTAAAATTGCTAACTACTTTAATTTTGTTTTCATTTCTCTTTCACTTATTTTCTCTCCTTCCAGGCCCTCCTACCTTTTCCAGATACCTTTTCTTACTCTCTTCCATATAATCTCTAGGTACCCTGTCTTATATTGTCTTTTGCATATCTAAACCCTCCTTCTTTCTACCTCTTACCCTTATCACTTCCCCCAAACGAAATTTCATGGCCTGGCACAGTGGCTCATGCCTGTAATCCCAGCACTTTGGGAAACTGAGGCAGGCAGATCACTTGAGGCCAGGAGTTCGAGACCAGCCTGGCCAACATGGTGAAAGTTCATCTCTACTAAAAATACAAAAATTTGCCGGGCGTGGTGGCAGGCACCTGTAATCCCAGCTACATGGGAGGCTGAGGCACGAGAATTGCTTGAACCCGGGAGGTGGAGGATGAGCCAAGATCATGCCTCTGCACTCCAGACTGGGTGACAGAGAGAGACCCTGTCTCAAAAAAAAAATAAAATAAATTTTCATTTCACAATGTAATTTTTCTCAGGAAAGTATTGAAGTCATTTATTTTCTTCTCTATAAAGAACAAATGATTAGGTTTTCTAGAATAATATGACTGCTAAGATATCAAATTAAGTTAATACTGATAGTATTATCTTGGCTGGGCATGGTGGCTCATGCCTGTAATCCCAGAACTTTGGGAGGCCGAGGTGGGTGGATCACCTGAGGCCAGGGGTGATCCATCTTTTTTAGAAGAGACGGGGTTTCACCATGTTGACCAGGATGGTCTTGATCTCTTGACCTCGTGATCCACCCGCCTCAGCCTCCCAAAGTGCTGGGATTACAGGTGTGAGCCACCGCGCCCGGCAGTATGGCAGAATTCTTAAAAGCTTGGAGTATAGATTCACCTTGCCTAGGTTCAAATATCGACCATACTAATATGTGACTTTGAAATTTTTTAGCTATACTCTTTTACTACTTGTGACTTTTGAAAGATAAAACCCTGCAAGGTAGACTTAACTTTAATACGATTCTCCTATGATTTATATTTTTAGATTACATGTGAAAATGAAGTTATGCAAACCCAAGGCCATGCTGATAATCCATCTAATAATGTCACTGCAGTGCCTACTCACTGTGAAGAAGGGCCAGTGCATAAAATTACACAAATTTCTTTGAAAAGGCCTTCTCACCGTAGTGTGGGTATGTTTTGACTCCAATGGATTAAGCAATTAAATTGATCTTTTGCATATTCAAGATATATGAAAAGCAAAGTCTAACTCCTCGGTACTTACACTTATTCTCTTCCAGGTATTCAAGCCAAAGTGAAAGTGTTTGGAAAAAGACTGTAATGCAACTACTCTATTGTAGTCTAGAACTTCTTCTCTCTTTGACATTTACTCCAGTGATTCAGAAACAGATACAGACTGGGATATCAAGAGTGAACAGAGTGATCTCTCTTATATAGCTATACAGGTGAAAGAAGAGACATGTTAAAAACCCAACCTCAAATGCTCTGATGTGCTATAGATTTTCAAATCTTTACTGTTTTTGCTATTGTAAATCTTTCACTTCAAGATAATTTGACAGTTGAGTACCAGCAAAATTTGTTTAGCTCTATGGCAAAAGTTTGCTTGCTTGCCACATAATGAAGATAATCCCTACCCACAAACATCCCTACACTCTACTTTCAACACTTTTTTCTTTTCTTTATTTCTTTTTTTTTTTTTGAGAGGGAGTTTCACTCTTGTTGCCCAGGCTGGATGGAGTGCAATGACATGATCTCAGCTCACCGCAACCTCCGCCTCTCAGGTTCAAGGGATTCTCCTGCCTCAGCCTCCCAAGAAGCTGGGATTATAGGCATGCACCACCACACCCAGCTAATTTTGTGTTTTTAGTAGAGACGGGGTTTCTCCACATTGGTCAGGCTGGTCTGGAACTCCCGACCTCAGGTGATCCATCCACCTCGGCCTCCCAAAGTTCTGGGATCACAGACATGAGCCATCATGCCCTACCTCACTTTTTTTTTTCCTTTTAATCCTTTCGGTAGAAATCAGGTTACAAAGCAAAACCGCAATATCAACAACGTATTCTAATCACGGTTAAGCATTGAATATTTATTTAAGCTTAGTTCAGAAGCAGTGCTTCTATGGGATTTACTTGACATTTGCTGGTTAGAATGTCACTATTCTTCTAAATAATTTGAAGGAATAAAGTAATAACAGTGAGCACAGCCGTGCCTGACACTACTAAATGATTTGGTAGTGAAATCTAGAACTTCTTCTAGAATGACATCTACCCTTGACTACTTTTTATGTTATTTATTTATTAGTTTGTCAATTGATAACATATATGGATCTGTCCTGTGAGCATTTCTGATGAATCTGTGGTTCTTACAGAAATTTTTCAAAGAGAATCAATTTAGAGATGGAGTTTTCATACACTTACATTAACTTATTAATGAAATCTATTTGCATCAGTTCCTACTGCAACACATTAATTAGCTTGATTAATTTAGAATCATTAACATCATGAAAAAAAGTATTACATTTCTAATGTATTCCCATTGCAGGTGTTAGGTTTTCTTTCTGTCAATACCCCTCTTTTGAATTCTACATTTGAGAAATAAGCATGGAAATATTAGCTACCCCATCTGCCATTCACCATGACAAATTTCTCTGGTGATTTTGTACCATGAAGTAAATTGTTACAGTGGTTTCTGAGAAGCATACCATAACTCTGATCTTCTATTGAGAATAGTAATAACAAATACTAATTTTACACCACATATGTCTTCTTAGTTCTGCATGATTAGAAGAACTTGCATGTGTTTTTATCCTAGAAGGTTTAAATAATACATCAAAGTGATTTCTTCCAAATCCAATTTTATGTCTGCTCTAATTTGAATAGTGTAATTTTAATTTTAAGGACAATAATAATAAAATAAAATATTAATGGAAGTTGTGAGCCTGAACAATGATTGTGTAAAAACATGGCATTATTAGTGCTTTCATTGTTGTTATTGCTGTTTTGACTTGAATTTGAGATGTCTCTTGTTTGTTTGTTTTACAGACAAGGTCTTGTTCTATCACCCAGGCTGGAATGTAGCGGTACAATCATAGCTCACCATAACCTCAAACTCCTGAGCTCAGACGATCCTCCCACCTCAGTCTCCCGAGTAGCTAGGACTATAGGTGTGTGCCACTATACCCAGCTAATTTGCTTTGTACTTTTTTTTGTGGAGATGGGGTCTCACTATGTTGCCCAGGTTAGTCTCAAACTCCTGGCCTCAAGCAGTCCTGCTACCTCGGTCTCCCAAAGTGCTGGGATTACAGGCATGAGTCACTGGACCTGGCCTGTTTTCAGAGCATTGTGTTTTAAAATGAATCGTATAAATCTTCTGAAGCTAAACACCATTATTAAGTACCCTTTGAGCTTTGAAATAGCCATCTCCTTAATTCAAACCATAATGAATGTTACATGCCCATTTGTCCCCAAATTTCACTGCCACGAATCTACTTCATTTCTACATGTTAAACAGTTTTGACAGCCATATCAACACTTTTTTTAACCTTTCACTTAGTTTTCTTCTTCCACCAATTGGGAATTTATACTTGATTTGTTGATTTACATTATTTCATAATTTATTGTGTAATTTTTCACTGCCCTACACAGTAAAAGGAAATACTGTTTTTATTTTAAATGACGTAAGGAACTTATAGTTTATAACATACTGTTTGATTTTTACATAAATATTTTTAATTTTCTTTATTTTGTTGCCAGATCAGTTTGGGGGAAAAATCAATTTACCTTAGTACCTCCCATATCATTATGTATTTATTCATAAGTATTTATCAAACATATACTCTGTGCCAGAAAACTGTTCCCTAAGGATACACTGGTGATTAAGACAAAGATTCTGGTCCTCTTGGTGCTTGACTTTTAGTGAGGGAGCCAGACAATAAACAAGAAAACGAATGAATAATTACAAATAGTTATTTGTGCTTTTTTGGGGGGGGGTGGGGAGGAAGGCAGGAAGGGAGGGAAGAAGGACGGTAGGGAGGAAGGAAGGGATGAAGGAAGGAAGGGAGGAAGCGGGGAGGGAGGGAAGGGAAGGAAGGAAATCAAGCAATGAGAGAGACATTGCTGACCTGGATCTAGAGGTTTACAAGTTGATTTCTTTTTTTTTTTTTGAGAGAAGAAAAGAAAAAAAAAAATAAGTAAAGGAGAGGAAGAAAGAGGAAGAGAAAGAGGGAGAGTAAATGGAAATATTGCTTTATTTTGAAAAAAATTGGGTATTAATAATGGCCAATCAATGTTTCATTTAAACTTATAGGTAGGTGTGATGTGGTATTGACAAGAATGTATATTTTGTGTGTTTGAAGTGGAGAGCTCTATAAATATTTATTAAGTTTACTTGTTCTGGATCTGAGTTCGAGTCCTTGATATCCTTATTAATTTTCTGTCTCACTGAATCTAAGTCTCGTATCTGGGTGTTAGGATCGTTAGCTCTTGTTGTTGCATTGATCCTTTTACCACTATATCTTTGTTGCTTTAAAATCTATTTTATCCGATACGAGAATTGCAACTCCTGCTTTTTATTTATTATTTATTTTTGCTCTCCATTTGGTTGGTAAATCTTTCTCCATCCCTTTGTTTTGAGTCTTTGTGTATCCTTGCATGTGAAACAGGTCTGGATGTAACATGCCATTGGATTTTGTCTGTGTCTTTTGATTGGGGGATTTAGTCAATTTAAATTTAGGGTTACTGCCATTTGATGTTGACTGGCTGTTTTATCCATTCGTTGGTGTAAATTCTTCTTTATGTTGGTGCTCTTTACTTTTTGGTGTATTTTTAGAAAGGCTAATACTGGTTGTTTCTTTCTGTGTGTAATGCTTCTTTCAGAAGCTCTTGTAAAGCAGGCCTGGTGGTAACAAAATCTCTGAGTTCTTGCTTGTTCATAAAAGATTTTATTTTTCCTTCAGTTGTGAAGCTTAGTTTGGCTGGATATGAAATTCTGGGCTGAAGGTTCTGTTCTTTGAGGATGTTGAATATTGGCCCCCAGTCTCTTCTGGCTTGTAGAGTTTCTGCTGAGAGATCTGCTGTAAGTCTGATAAGCTTGTCTTTGTGGGTAACCTGACGTTTCTCTCTGGCTGCCCTTAGTATTTTCTCCTTCGTTTCAACCCTGGTGAATCTAACGATTATGTGCCTTGGGGTTGCTCTTCTTGAGGAATATCTTTGTGGTATTCTCTGTATTACCTGGGGTTGAATGTTGACCTGCTTTGCTAGTTTGGGAAAATTTTCCTGAATAATATCCTGAAGGGTATTTTCCAGCTTGGATTCATTCTCTCCGTCGCATTCAGGTACACCTATCAAACGTAAATTTGGTCTTTTCACATAGTCCCACATTTCTTGGAGACTTTGCTCATTCCTTTTTAGCCTTTTTTCTCTAATCTTTTCTTCACGTTTTATTTCATTAAGTTGGACTTTGACCTCTGATATCCCTTCTTCTGCTTGAACAATTCGAGTGTTTAAACCTGTGCATACTTCTCGGAGTTCCTGTATTGTATTCTTCAGTTCCATTAATTCACTCATACTCCTCTCTAAGTTGTCTATTCTCAATAGGATTTCATCAAACCTTTTTCAAATTTCCTAGTTTCTTTACGTTGGGCTACAACATGTTCTTTTAACTCACCGAAGTTTGTTATTATCCATTCCTTGAAGAGTGATTCTGTCATCAGGAGGCGCTCGTTCTCCATCAAGCCTTGTTCCATTGTTGATGTGGAACTGTGATCATCTTTAGAGGGAGAGGTGATCTGATTTTGAGTATTCTCAGCTTTTTTACGCTGGTTTCTTCCCGTCATTGTAAATTTATACTCCTGTCGTCTTTGAAATTACCAACTTTCAGATTAGGTCTCTTGAGTGGACGTCCAGGTTGTTAGTTCCCAGGGCCAGAGCAGCAGCGTTATAACTGATGGTGCTTTTCTGCCCAAGATTCTCCTGTCTGGCTTCCTTCTTGTGTCCGTAGTAGGCGACTCTGCCTTCCCAGGGCTCCAAACCTCGGTCAGAAGGGGAACCGGTCCCGTTTACTCTGAGCCGAGCGCTGCCGCACGGAGGTGCCATCACAGCCGCTGCGTGGGGCTCTGGTGTCCTGCTGGGGACCCGTGCGGGTCCTCCGAACCTGTTTACTCTGCTCAGAGAGCTGCCGCGCCAAGGTGCCAGCGGAACCGCTGCGCCAGCCACGAGAGTCACGCTGGCCACCCGTGTGTTTCCTCCGCTGGGGGATCTTCTGCTCCGTGAGGACCAGAATTTGTCTGATCCTCTAGTTCTCCGCGCCTTCCCTGAGAGCTGCAATCCCGGGATGTTAGCGATCGGCCATCTTCGTCATTTGTGCTTTGAGGAAAATAAAGTAGAAGAAAAGGTTAATGGAGATGGGGGGAGAGGTTTGTTGAGCTGTTTTAGATAGAGTAATAAAAAAAGGCCTCTCTATGGAGAGCATATACGATCAGAGGCCTGAATATTAGGAGCGACCAGGCAAGGATCCGAGGGAAGGGAGTTTCAGGTGATAGGAACAGCAGTTGCTCCGGTGTGTTTGAGGAACAGTAAGAAGACTAGGGTGGCTAGAGAAATAAACCAGGCAGAGCATGGTAAGAGATGAAGTTGGAGTGCTTTGTAAGACCAGACTATGTTACAGTATTAGAGGCTACAATCAGGAATTTTTATTTTATTCTGGGCTTAAATTATATTTTAAATGTGTTCTTATGACGGTTTATCTGCCAGTATTTATTTCTTAAACTTACTTGGGAACACACGAAACATCACTGGGCTTTAGATGAGAGAAGAGAGACATATCAAGAGTGTGTGAATGTAAAGCTTACTCAGTCAAAAATTTTCCTCTGTGGGACTTCTGGAAAGCTTCAGTCTTACTGGCCGGAGGAATCAGAGGTAGGAATTCAGGGCTGCCAGAGGGAAAAATGATGGGGCAAGTCATAGAAAAGAGGAAGCCAGAGGGGAGGAGCCCCCAAATCGCTTATAAACTCCACCCAAATCTCTGACTAATCACTGAGCTGTGCCTGTGTTGTGTGTGACCTCAGGGGGCCCAGCATAAAACAATGGTTGCAAGCCTTAGCTCAGCTGCTAGTCATCACAGTGGAAGTGGAGTTTGGAGTTTGAGTCCAGCCAAGTTAACCAGCTGTTAAAATAAAATTCAAGTGCTTAGGAAGAAGATAACAATTTACCATCCAAAATGTCCAGTATAAGATTTAAAATACAATCCCAGCACTTTGGGAGGCCAAGGCGGGTGGATCACGAGGTCAAGAGATCGAGACCATCCTGGTCAACATGGTGAAACCCCATCTCTACTAAAAATACAAAAAATTAGCTGGGCGTGGTGGTGCGTGCCTGTAATCCCAGCTACTCAGGAGGCTGAGGCAGGAGAATTGCCTGAACCCAGGAGGCAGAGGTTGCAGCGAGCCGAGATCGCGCCATTGCACTCCAGCCTGGGTAACAAGAGCAAAACTCTGTCTCAAAAAAAAAAAAAAAAAAAGATTTAAAATTACTAGTCATGTGAAGAAATTAGAAAGTGTGACCTAATATCAAGACAAAAAGGAATCAATAGAAACCAACCCCAAAATGACCAGAAGTTGGAATTGGCAGACCAGAACTTTAAAGCAGTTATTATAAATATATTCCAAGAGGGAAATGTAGTTATAATGAAGAGAAGGAATCTCAGCAGAGAAATAGAAACTAAAAAAAGAACCAAATGGAAATTCTAGAACTAAATCC